AAATTGTGTTCCAGCTTCATCTGACCCTGCCTCAGTTCTGGAATCAGCCTTCTCACCAGAAAGCACCTGAGGTTACGTGTATCTCGGGCAAGGTTTTTTCTGTTGTACCTGGGGTCACTATGAGTTAGTGCCACCTGGGCTGTCTAGTGCTAGCATATGAAGTTGTTAGGTGCCATCGAGTAGAACATGACTCATAGTGACTCTATGAACAACACATATGAACCCTGTCCTCCCCTGCGCGTCCTCTCAGTCTCTGGCACACTTGAGGCCATAGTGGTAGTCAGTGTCAACCTATCTGGTTCAGGCTGTTCCTCTCTTTTGCCGACCCTCCACATTTCCACGCATGATGTCGTTTTCCAAGGTATAGCCTCTCTAGTCACATTCCTAAAGTATGAGAGATGAAGCTTCATCATCCTTGCCTCCAAGGAATACTCTGGCTGCACCTTCTCCAAGACATACCTGGTTCTTTTAACAGCTCATGGAATATTCAGTACTCTTCTCTAAAACCACAGTTCAAAGGCATCAATTCTTCTGTCATTCTTATTCACTGCCCAGCTCTCAGATACATAGCAAGTGATTGAAAAGTCAAGTGCACCTTCGTCTTCAAACTAATATCATTGCACCTCAGTACTTTGGAGAGATCCCTGACAGTGGACTTACCCAATGAAATACATCTCCTGATCTCCTGATTGCTGGTACCAAGGGTGTCGACAACAATATATACTTAGTTGTGTGTGAACACATATACTTTTAACAATTTCTATACCTATTCATCCGCAAAATACTCACTACCTCCCTCTTTATATAATCTAGCACCATGAGGAAAGTCCTTCCCATTTCTAATATTTGTAATTCCCTTTCTAGACAGTGAGAAACCTCCCAGCGTCCTCGAGATGTTTACTTCTATGCACAGTCTGCATGCACATCTCCCTGTCCCAAGTACCTCAGACATATCTTTTCATCACAGATAATGGGAAAGGGATTTTGATGTTTGATAAACCAAAATGCCCCTCATAATTTTGAAAATATATTTTTCAAAAAATTATGTTCACAACTTTTGTAAACACTATATTATATTCATTCTTCTAGAGAATAAATAGCACCACTATGCCAGTTCTCTCCATTATGTCTCTGCATCTTTACTGAAATTATGTTTGCACCAAATTTCTTTAATAAATAAGGTTTGGTTTCCAACTTTTAGGATGTGGAGAATTAGAGTGGGTTGCAGCAATTGTATAAAGAGTTGCACTGCCAACCCAAAGTTAAGTGGTTTGAATCCCCTACCTGTTCCAACAGGTTCAATTTCCACTCACACATTTACAGCCTCTGTAAGGGTCAGCTATGAGTCGATTCTGACTCAACCTCAAACAGCAATATAAGCTCTGATTCTTAAATATTTCCCTGCACCATTCCTGTAACTGAGCGAGTCTCCAGAAAAGACCACCAAGCCAATTAGCCGAATTAACAGAGTTTATTTCGAGTTTGAACCCGGGCTCCCGCATGCTGACACTGCAGCATCCACCTGAGAGCCCCGAGACCAAGCGAGCCCTCCCTTTTATACTTTCTTGCTCTTTCGTCTAGCTACACAGTTTATGATTGGCTACTTATAGTAGTTCTAGTACTAGTTTGCTCTCTATTGGTTAGCCATAGCTCAGGGAGGCAGTCAGCCAACAGAGTGTGGTTTATCACAGGTGGGGGAGATTGCTTGCTGCAAACTACGCAAGCAAGTGGGATGGAGGTAGCTGCACTTTGTCAGAAACTGAGTTTTTGATGTTTGATGCCTACATTTCCCACTGGTTTTTCCTGATAAATCAAATCATTGATTTATCAGTTTTAGTGAGGTGCTGATAATGAGTTTGAGTTATAAGGATTTTTAGCTTTTGCATGTGAGTTTGGATGAGGTTAACTAAGTACCTGAAAATGCATTGACTAAGAGTTAGAATGAGAATTAACAACAGTAACGGTTTAGCAATTGAAGTGAGAAGGGTAGTGACACCTTGGGGACCAGTTGAACAAGTTAGAGAACCAATTTCCTTGTTGCTGTCTTATTTTTTTTTTTTTCTTTTAGCCTCTGTCAGAGCTAAGGCTTTTTCTGATTACTCCAGAATGGTTACCATAAAAACTATTTTTTTAGTGCAGTACATAGTCCTCCTTGCTTTAAAAACAGTAAATTCAGGCCTTTTTTGTGATAACAATCGCATTTTTTTTTCCGTTCGAGATGTTGACTATAAGGTCAAATATTAACTCTTGCAGACCTCAGTACAATACAAAGATGTTTTTCAGAATACCTTATTGTGTGCTCTAAGAAAGAAAGAGTTTAGGTAGATTACATTTTCTAACGTCTGAGACCTTTCATTACTTTTATTCATTAATATTTTACTTTCTTGAGTTGTTTATTGCCAAGCAGATGTTCTAGTCAAGATGGAGTTAGTTTTGCTGGTTTTACAGTACAGGGCTAATCTTGCTTTACAAGATATCCAGGATGCTGACAATTCCCCTTCCAAAATATTAAAATATAGGATGTTGCCTGTCTTAGGTGGATAAGAGAACTCAAACTCAAGTCACCCGTCATGGGGATGATAGCAATTTATGCTACTCCCTGTCTTAGGATCATGAGCGAGTCTTTCTCCTTACCCATCATTGGCTACACATCCTGCATTTGTTTGGGGAGGGCTTTAAGTTGAATTTCATGTACTTTACCCAGCAATTCTTGATATCGCTTGGCTAATCTACGACCAGCACAAGGAAGGATCCATAATATACATATGACAATAATACCAAGAGCAACAATTATAAAAATTAGACTTTTAAATGAATTGACTGAAGGAAACCAGTTTTAAAGATTTTCAAATATTTGACTAGCTTGTCCCACTGTAGAAATATTTATATCTAGGGTATTTTACATTTTTATAATTTTTTGGTGCAAATCATACAAATTAAGAGAATAATTATTTGACATCCAAATTCCTTTTAAATGAGATATTCTTTTATACAATTATTATCTGAACTATTATATTTTAATTTTGTAACACAAGTATAACCATAGGCCACATGGCATCTTAACTTTTCTCTTACTCTAATTTGTTTTACCATATTTTCTAATACATTTACCATATCATACAAAACATTTAATTTTTGTTCCATAACTTTATCTACATTTTCTTGCTCTGCCCAATTTTTTTGTTACATTATGCATTAACCCATTTACAAACTTAGCCATTTGAACTTTTTGTGTTAAAGCTACAGCAGAAGTAGAGACAGCAAGCATAGAGATAAGAGAAACAATTTCTACAGTAACAAGACCTACAGCTTTTTAAACTTTTAATGGCAACTTATATAATTTTTTTTAAATTTGCAAACTTTTATCATCATATCAAATATTATTTAACTTTACCAGTGTCATAACAAAAGGAGGATTCTTTAGAATAACAACTGAGTCATCTTTGGCAATAGAGCTGATACAACGAGAACAACTTATATTTTGGATAATCACCAGTGATTACATTATTACCAATTAATAAGACATATGGTTCAGGTGCACAAGACATGACTTTGGCATTTGTGACATTATCTCCTTTACATTTATCTTTTGGTATACAGGAAATATTTATCGATCCTATACTAGCCACTAATTCACGTAATTTAGTTTGATAATTACGGTGATTAACAGTTTAAATTTTGTCTACTGATCTTTTAGCTTCGACTTTATTTGATGGGGCCCAGTTGTACAAGTTCAAATCTGCAGTAACATTTTTCTCCAGCTGAGAGAGTGAAGTAAGGGTGGACCTGGAATATATGTTCTTTAAGATTTAGCTTGAATCCTTATTATCAGAGTTAGCAGTATTACCATCCTTATTTCTGTCAGGCGAGACATCTTCTTGCAAAGCTGATACAATTCCCAAACACCACATTAACCTTAAAAAAGGAGACTGACATCCAAGCAGATATATGCACACCCATGTTTATTGTGGCTTTGTTCACAATAGCAAGGAGTTGGAAACAACCTAAGTGCCCATCAACAAATGATTGGATAGAGAAGCTGTGGTATATTCATGCAATGGAAAACTATGCTGCATTGAAAAACAAGGAACTCATGCAATATTAGTCAAAATGGGTGACCCTGGCGGACATTATGCTGAGTGAAGTTTCTCAGTCACAAAAGGAAATTCTGCATGGTGCCACTGTTGTAAAACAGGACTGATATCAGGGTAGGGGGGAGACTGAGAAAGATGGGTTCAATAATGTATACTGCATTGAAACAGATGAGGGAGAAAACTATTTAAAAGGGATATGCGATTAGGTATTTTTGTCATGACAGGTGTCTAGAGCGAAGGCTACATGGTGAGTGGACCTGGGGGAGGGTTTGTTAAACAAAGAATTTTTGTTTTACTTTTACAAAAAGGTAGTGTACTAAGGGGGAGGGTTGGGAGGGAAGAAAAGTGCAACAATGAATGAAAGGAAATCTAAAGTCTCTGTAAATTTTTACTGAAATTAATAATAAATTTAAAAAGAAAAAAAGGAGAAGAGTTACTTTTCATTGGTTGAAAACCCCTAACCACTCACCAGGATTTAATAACCTGTGCTCCTCCCCCAGAATCAACTTACAGCCCACCATCTAGAATAATACATGAATTCTCTGCAGACTTTTGGAAAGTGGCATATCGTGGGAAGTATATGATGAAGATGTTTTTCTTTCTTTCTTGTTCTTTCTCTGCTGAAAAAGAAAACAGAAGCATTGGAAACAATGTGAATTTAATTATGTAGTTTAGGTTTGAGGAAACTCTGGTGGCTTGCTTAGTGGTAAGGAGCTGCACTGCCAACCCAAAGGCACATGGTTCGAATCCACAGGAAAAAGATGGGAAAATTCTTCCTGTGTGATTTACTGCCTCTGAAAACCCACTGGAGGGTCAGCTGTGAGTTGGTTCGGCCATAACTAGATGGTATGTAACAGCATAAATTGAGTATATGCAGTATATAATTTTTTTCATGTTTTTCTGCAGGAAGCCATGGCTTTTAATAAGTTTAATGTTCTCCACTGGCATATAGTTGATGACCAGTCCTTCCCTTACCAGAGCATCACTTTTCCTGAGTTAAGCCATAAAGTGAGTAATTCATGTCTTTGTCTAGTCTACAAAATTTTCGGTATAATTTTACGAGAAGTTTGCAGCGTAAGTATTTCTTCTAATGAATCGATTTAAAACATAGAGGTTAAATGTTTGTGTGGTTTTAATTTTTCTTCTAACTAGGCTATGGTGTGGCATTTTGGATCTATAAAATTTATTTTTTACTGTTAGGCTCTTTTAAATAATGCATAGGGAACAGTACAGATATATGAGACTTTAATGAATGTAGGAGACCTGAAGTGATCATGAATAACATAGGTTTAGGATAGTATATTTTGCAGCCATATATGTTTTAAATAGGATTGTTTTGAATTATCTTTTTTCCTTTCTGAAAAAAACCAGTAAAGTCCAGATATTGTATCTCACTATAAAAAAGCCTACTTAAAAAACAAACCCCAAACCCAAACTTATATGCCATTATCACACAAAAAGTAATAATTCTTTAATATCATCAAATGTCCACCCAGTACCCATATTTAGGATTTTCTTTTCATCAAAAACAAACAAACAAAATCCCATTTTATTTTAATTGAGATACAAGTGAGGAGGTCTGACCACTGTGCTGAGTTGATATGTAGTAATTCAGTTTTTATTTATAGGATTCTATGCTATCCTTTCTAAAATAGAAAAAAAAAATGTCTTCCATGTAATTTATATTTTCTGTTAAAGAATGTTACGCTGTTTGTCTTCATTTCCCAGTCAAGGCTTTTGCTGATGACATCCACACGTTGCCATTTAACTTGTTCTTCTGTCCCCTGTACTTAATATAAATGGATAGTTAAACCTGGTCTTGGTTAGATATAACTCTGATTTTCAAGGACGGTAGGGGAGAGTAATTTTTCAGGAATTGAGCACATACAGCTTTGAGAAATAAGCTACAGTAACACTTTGAATGCTTTTGTCTTTAATGATCTCTGATATTGAGTTATACTCTGATTTATAGAAGGGAGTAAGGATAATCTTTTTTTAAAAAATCAGATCAATTATACAGTCCATGGGGAAATTTTTAAACTTCAATAGTGTAGTGACCTTGACTTTGAAAGATGACAACCATGCTTTGTTTTAATATTTACATTTTTATTCTAAAACTGACAAAGGCAAAACCATTTCCATATATTTTTCTTTAGAGACAAACATTTTATTTCCATTTTGCTATGTAGTTAAATGGTATAGCATTAAGGTTGACATTTTAAAAGTAAGAGGAATTGGTAGAAATAGCTCTCTTAGTAAATCTGAGAGTAACAAAAGTGCAGTAGGAGCTTATGCATAAAATAGAGTGAAAAATAATTTCAGAACATCAAACAGTATCTTATTCTTTGTGTGTGTACATTTAGTAGCCAGTCATCTCTGTTTTCAATAGCTTTTCTAACCCTGAAACCATTTGTACATGTGTGTCGTATTATTTTTAGCTCCCACCCCCTCTTTTTATGGTGCTGTCTTATTTTTGAATGAAGAATTCAGCATCACATAATGACTATTTATTACACTGTATTTGTTAGACCATAAATAAGTTACCAGATAGGAAAGTGTTGACAATTTCTAGGACAAAATCCACTTTGTACTTTTTAACCTTGCACTGTGTGGCTTTTACAGGGCAGCTATTCTTTGTCTCATGTTTACACACAAAATGACGTCCGCAAGGTGATCGAATATGCTCGGCTGCGAGGGATTCGGGTCATTCCAGAGTTTGACAGCCCCGGACATACACAGTCTTGGGGGAAAGGTATGGCATTTGTGTTTTATCACATGCACTCATTTTGTTCTCAATTGTATAAAGGTAGTATTATAGAGAAATAGAGTACCAGGAGCTAGGCACTGCGCCTAGGAACTGCCCTAAGTATCAAATAAATACAGGATAAAAGGGAAAAAAAATCAATAATCAGTACAAGTTGAACATAAGTGAATTAAAGGAAAGATTCCAGGTATAAAGTATAACACTTAAAATGCTGTTGAGAGATTCAAGAATTCATGTATTTTCTAGTAAAGGGATAACATGAGGGAAAGCCTCAAAACTGGTAAGAGGTGCTGGACAGGTGTTTGTTTGGAGTATGGGGTAACAGAGTTAAGTGCCATGGAGTTGATGATGAACAACAGATGTGAGACTCACCCAACCCTGAGCAATCCTCACCATCTGATTGCTCAAGTACATTGTTACAGTCACTGTATCAAAGCATTGAGTGTCTTCCTATCCTTCTCTGACCCTCCATGTTTGCCAAGAGACTCTCCTTTTCCAAAGACTGACCCTTTCTGAATATGCTCAAGGTATATGAGACTCAGTTTCACCATCTTTGCCTTTAAAGAGTACCTTGACTGCCCTTCCTCCAGGACAGGCTGGGGTTTTCTTCTTTTGGCAGTCCATAGAATATTTAGTACTGTTCTCCAACACCACAATGCAAAGGCATCAATCCTTCTAACACCTTATTCACTATCACACTTTCAGATGCACAGGAAGTAAATAAAAGACCATAGGTTGAATCAGGTACACCTTGTTGTTGTTGTTGTTGTTAAGTGCTGTCAAGTTGCAGGCAACTCATAGTGAGCCTATAAATGAAAGTCCACCTCCTATATGACTTTTGTCCTTTCTCCAGCTTCATAGGGTTTCCAGAGGCAAGCTATTATGGAAGTGGTACACCTTAGTCTATAAAATTACATCCTTGCTCTTAAGCATTTTGGAGTGGCCCTTGACAGCAGATTTTCCCAGTGCAACATTTCTTTTTATTTTTTGGCTGCTATTATCATGAGTGTTAATTGTGCATCCAAGTAAAAAAAGATTGCTGACCCTTTACATCTCTTCTGCATCTTTCACAATGGAGCAGAGTACAAGGTACTATGTTGGTTGTTGTTAGGTGCCATTGAGTCTAGTACAACTCATAGCAACCCTGTAAATAACTGATCCAAATCCTGTCATATTCTGTGCCCTCCTCATTATTTCATACATACCTGAGCCTAATGCAGCAGTCACTCTACTAATCCATCTCTTCTCTTTCACTAACTGTGCACCTTCCCAAGCATGATGGCCCTCTCCAAAGAACAGCCTCTCCTAAGAACATGACAAAAGCATTACAGGATGGCAGTAAATAATTTAGGCTCTACAGTTAAACTCCTTGGGTTGGAATCTTGCATTTGACAACATGCCTCTGGAAACTCTATGAACTTTGATAAGTGTCAATAGTTGTAGAGGAGCTTCAGGCCTTTGGTTCATAGGGTCGCTATGAGTCACACTTGACTTGAAGGCAATCAACAACAACAAACTAGGTATATAACACCTAGTCTCAGTTTTATGTCTCTAAAATGGGGATGTCAATAGTACCTGTAGCATAACTGTTTTTGAGGATTAAATAAATGTCAAGCATATAGTTTAGTTTGAAAAGTAAGTAACATTACAGTAGCCATTAAGACAGACGAGGAAGAAAGATTGGCCATCTACTTCTTAAATAAGAGCCCTTTAATAACCCTCTAAACAGTAAAGAAATGTGCATAGTCCTAAGAGTAGAGCCCAGATTGGAAGTTAGTCAAAATGAAAAATAATGGCAAACATTGTTTAGTAACTAGAACATGGAATGTACATAGTTTGAATGTTGGAAAACTAGAAATTGTGAAAAATTAAATGGAACGTATGAACATCAACATATTAGGCATTAGTGAGATGAGATGGACTAGCTTTGTCCACTTTGAATCAGATCACCATATTGTATCCTAAATTAGGAATGAAAAACAGGAAGAATGGTGTTGCATTCATAGTCAAAAAGTCAATTTCAAGTTCTATCCTGAAACACAACTTTGTGAACGAAAGGATATTATCCATTCACATACAAGGAAGACCCGTTAAAATGACTATTGTTCAAATCTATGCTCCTATATCTCGAGCCAAATGGAGGGAAAATGAAAATTTTTATCAAATCTTGCAGTCTGAAATTGATTGAATATGCAATCAAGATGCATAGTTACTGAAATGCAAAAGTCAGAAACAGTGAAGAAGAAATAATAGTCAGAAAATATGGGCTTGGTGAAAGAAATGAAACTGGAAATAGAATGACCAAACTTTGTAATTTCAATGATTTATTCATTACAAATACCTTTTTTATAAGACACAAATAGCAAATTTACACAAGGATCTCACCTAATGGTACCAGCAGTCAGGAAATATATTGTACGGGGAAAGTCTGCAACCAGGGACCTCTCTAAATTATTGAGTAATGATGTCAGTTTAAGGACTAAGGTGTGTCTGATTCAGACCATGGTCTTTTCGATCACTTGCTGTGCACCCAAGAGCTGGACAATGAATAAGGATGAAAGAAAAAAAAATAATTGATGCCTTTGAGCTATGGTGTTGGAGAAGAGTACTGAATATCCCATGGATAGCCAAAAAAGAACAAATGTGTCTTAGAGAGGGTACAGTCAGAGTGCTCCTTGGAGGCAAAAATGGTGAGGCTTTGCCTCACACACTTTGGGCCTATTGTTAGGAGAGACTATTCCTTGGAAAGGGATGTGATGCTTGGAAAGGTGAAAGGTAAAGAGGAGGAAAACCCTCAACCAGGTGGATCGACACAGTGACTGATGCAATGGGCTCTAATGTGTTGGAAAGTGTGAGGATGGTACAGGATAAAACAGGGTTCAGATCTGTGCTTCATAGACTTGCTATGGGTCATACTCAACTCGATGGCATTTAACAACAATAACAAGCCATAGGGAAAATATAAAGAGCCTTGTATGAGCAACTCGGGCTTCATCACAACATACTGGAAACCACAAAATGTTTCTGAGAAGCAGGGACACGTTAGGAACCATACTTTGGAAAGACTTCTGTAAAAATGACAAGTGAGAGGAGGAAGGCCAGGATGGTGGTGGCAACAATGAAGAATGGGCAGAATTGAGAGAATTCTGGAAATAAAATCCATAGGACTTGGCAGCTGATTGGATGAAGGGGGAGAGGGATGAGTTCCACACTGCAAGACAGAACATGGAAATCAGAAGCTATAGTTTAGGGAATGGAGAAATTAGTTTGTTTTTTTTTAAAGATTTAATTGCAGCAAGATATACTTGCATAGAACAAGAAAACTGAAGTGTGGATTGATGTTTAGGAAAAAAGGATGGGGTGAGCTGAAGAGGTAAATTTGAGAGTGATTGATATTAAAGAAAAAGTGGATAAAATCTCATACAGGATTGGAAACTAAGAGGCAGAGGGATAGGATTCAGGAAATAATTCTCCCTCTTCTTATTTGGAAGAAATTTCCTAGTAACTTAAGCTTATCTCATTAATTTTTTTTTCCTTTCTTTTATTTTTGTTTCCTCACCTTCCCCCCTAGTACACTACCCTCTTGGAAAAGTAAAAGAAAAATCCTTTAATTGTTTTACAATCCCTCCCCCTGGTCCACTCCACTATATAGACTTCGCTCTGGACTCGTGTTATGACAATAATACCTAATCACATATCCCTCTCAAACAGTTTTCTCCCTCATCTGTTTTAATGCAGTATACACTATTGAACCCATCTTTCTCAGTCTCCCCCCAACCCTGAGGTCAGTTCTGTTTTATAACAGTGGCACCATGCAGTATTTGTCCTCTTGTGACTGAGATACTTCACTCAGCATATTGTCCTCCAGGGTCACCCATTTTAAATAATATTGCATGAGTTCCTTATTTTTCACTTCTTTTTTTCTTATTTTTTTTATTGGGAAAAACATATTGGGGGTACAAGGAGGTGAGGGTTGGGGGCAGAAGGGTGAGGATGTGCCAGGATGCAATTGCAGAGCTGCACAGTTTGGTCGATGGGGGAAGCAGGTGAAGGAAATGATGAGGGTCCAGTGGGGACCAGATGCTACAGAGGAATGACAAGCATTTTCCAATAGTAATTAAACCAACTGTCTTA